TTCACCTTTTCCTCACCCTTGACTCTTTATCGTAAACTTCCCACAATAAGTTTTGTACAGTCCCACAAAATGCTTATGATACCACAAAATAAGTTTCCCACAATTTCAAGTACATAAAACACTCAGGTTAGTCTTATTTCCCCTTCCTTGTCAGCTACAAAGTTCAGGCTCTTAAAAGATCCAATTTCCTTTGTAGCCCATCAGTCAGTGGCGGACAAGTTCTGGTCTTTCTTACCATCCCCGTTATAACCTGCTTCTTAGTGTTTGTGTGTCTGTGTTTGTTTAGTTTGTCGTTTTTCTTGTTGATTGCCATTTCTTTCATGCTGAATAGTCCATACCCAGGCAACTTAATGGGCCAGATAGCATTACATTTGATGTAGCCTCACACATGGGCTGTGTGTATTTGTGTACCTGTACTAGAGGTGAGCCCCTTTCAACCTAATTTATCATTCCTGAGGGGTCTTTTGCACCCGTCTCTGTGCCACATGCACTCACCACCACTGACCTCGCTTCCCATGCTTACTTGCAAACTGTTGCCAATGTCCCCCTGACATGCCTATTTCAAAGCCCTCTATGCCAGGCTTACCAGCCTCTTGGCAAAGCTGCTGTTACTGCGCTCTGTCAATACAAATCCCATCTTTTGCTAACAACGCTCCTTCTTCTAAGAAGGACCCATGGTCATAAAAGCCTAAGTGCTGTGTATGATACTTAAAGGGAAAAACTTCTCAGTACAAGTCATCTAAGACAAATCAGGATGAAAGTAATTTACTGGTATGTGGAAGACGTCTGAAAATTGGTTAATTACACATTAATCATAGAATCATAGAATGGTTTGGGTTTGAAGCAACCTTAAAGATCATTTAGTTCCGATCCCCCTGCATGGACAGGGTCATCTCCCACTAGACCAGGTTGTTCAAAGCCCCATACCACCTGACCTTGAAGACTTCCAGGCAGGAAGCATCCACAATTTCTTTGGGCAGCCTGTTCCAGTGTCTCATCACATGCACACAGAAGAATTTATTGCTAATGTCTAACCTAAATCTACACTCTTGTAGTTTGAAACCGTTTCCCCTCATCTATCCCTACATGCCCTTGTAAACCAGCTTGCCTGTAGGCCCCTTGAGGTACTGGAAGGCCACTATAAGGTCTCCCCAGAGCCTTCTCCAGGCTGAACAGCCCCAACTCTCTCAGCCTGTCAGTAATACAAGAGGTAAACACAGTATTAGACAAAAGATGTTAATAAACACCTGCACAATTCTAATCACCTTTATTCAACTAATTCCAAAGCTTTCAAGTCCTCTCCCCCCACTAGGGCTACATCAACCCTCACATTGGCTGAGCAGGCTGCCCTGCGTGCACACCCATCCTGCAGGACATGTGGCTGTCCCAGCTTTGTGGGCACCCCTGCTGCTCCCAGCACCCCACTCATGCACCCCCCAGCGAGGAGGTATATCTGCAGCCCAAGGTAGGGTCCTTGTGTGCTGTCCCTGCTCTGCCAGCCCACTTCTGGGTACAGGTTTTTCTTTGGAGGGTAAGAAAAAGAAAGGGTATGCACAAATAATTGAAAAAACCCAAACAAACTAGAAATTTATTTTTAAGTACCCAAACATAACTAAAACTTTTCCTTTTCATAAAAGAAGAACTTACATAGGGGAATAAAGAATACAGTAAGTCTGAAATTAGTATCGTAGTGAAATGTGTCCAAACAATATAATAACTTGGTTCCTCTTTTACAGTGTCTGCTGCATGACTAAGTAGCTGCTTGTCTTTTTTCAAAGGTCTTGAGTTGTTTTTTGTTACAAGCAGAGGATAATATTCAGTAAACAAAAGGGAAAAGGCTGTTGTAATGCAGTACCATAAGTATTGCTATCAGAATAAACATTTTTGCACTTGGTGTTTGTCAGATGTGTTGCTGCTGGTGTACTACAAACTATGCCTTGGTTTGTCTGGTACTGTGATATTCTTGTGTGATATACTCCTTGAAAAAAAAAAAGTAAAATGGGAGAGAGAGAATTGCATGTTTTACCTGTGCGTAGACCCTTCTGGTATGATGGGTAAATATTGCTGCAGGCTTATTTATCATTCTTTTAATTTGTTTGTAGGTAGGTGGTATATTAGTCCAGTTTGGTGCTTGCTGTTTTAACAGGATGTTATTTTAAAATTCTTGTTTGCTGTAGCTAATATTTAAATTCATTAGTATTCAATATGACAGCAAATATATCTAATTGCAAGCAAGAGGTTCTAAAAGGTTTAATAGAAACTTGCAGTGCTTTATTTCCTTAAACAATGTCAATTTAGACATGCTTTGCATTAGAGTTGTGGTACCTGAAGTTTTATGTTTGATACACATGCAGCGTAACTCACCCCTGGAACAGGTAATACTAACACAGCTTTAATTGATTTGAGTCATGCACCATTGATCTGTTCTCTTGACCCATTCCCTTGGGTCTGTCTCTTTCTAGAACCAAAGTTTGCTGAAGCTGTCACCATTGCCTTGATAAAATGTTTTAACTTTTAAGCAATTGTTGTATCACTCTTAAATGATGCAGCATTTTCTACACTTGCTTTCTTTTATCATGGGCTGCAATTTGGACTATTGCAGGTCATACCATTATTTTGTGAGGAAAAGTGGGATGGGAGCATAGGAGTCTTGAGGATTTTGGATATGGACTTGCGATGTCTAAGACTGGGAGTGTGAGAATGCTGTAGGAACGTGGGGATGGTCAGCAGTGCAGCGATCTCAGTTTGGAGACTGGGAGGTTGAATTTAGTGGGGTCAAAGGACTGAAATCTGGTTTGGGGAAGCAGGGAGCAGGTAGCGGAGATGGAAGAGAGGGAGGCTGTATATAGGTAGTTACATGGATTCAGAGGTTGTAGACACTGGTGAACTGTATTTTTAATGCTCATAATAAAAATTAATTTAAGATTCTCATTAATGTTGCTTGGAGGCAAGCAACTTCGTTAAAGGCTGGCTCTGGCACTAAGCACTTTCTTTGGCATACATAACATGAATACTTGAGTAGCTAATAAAGAGATAATTTAATAGACTACCTTAATTTTGCAGCTTTATTTTCATTCTTCAGCTGAATTGGAACTGTTGGAGGATGGAAAATTAAAGTCTTCACATGGCAAGAGATTTGTAAAGGCAGCTAGCCAGGATAAATTAATTCATTTGTAAATTGTAAAAAATGTACATATTGAAGAACACTGACATTCTATTTTTAAATAAATTATGAGGATAGATAGCCTTCAAAAACATCACACCATATGAGGAAAAATATATCTTGTAACAATAGCGCATCACTTAAGAAATACATTTTCGTAATATTCTCAGAAGTTCAGTGGTTCATACTTGCATTAGAATAGAGTTTTAACTTTCCATTGAGATCCTTTAAAAATTGGGAGAAATCATAGAATGTGTGGGGTTGGAAGGGACCTTTAATGATCATCTAGTCCAGCTCCCTCTATAGTCTGCAGGGACATTCTGACTACATCCAGTTGCTCAGAGCCTGGTTGAGCCTGACCTTGAATGTTTCCAGGGATGGGGCCTCCACCACCTCTCTGGGCAAACTGTTCCAGTGATTCACCACCCTCATTGTAAATAACTTCTTCCTAATGTATAATCTAAATCTACTCTGCTCTAGTTTAAGACCACTGTTGCTCATCTTTTTGCTACACACCCCTTTAAACATACCCTCCCCAGCTTCAGGTACTGGAAGGCTGCTATAAGGTCTCCCAGGAGCCTTCTCCTCTCCAGGCTGAACAACCCCAGCTCTCTCAGCCTGTCTTCACTGGAGAGGTGTTTTAGCCCTTGTGTCATTTTTGTGGCCCTTCTCTGAACTCATTCCAACAGGTCCATGTCTCTCTTGTGTTCAAGACACCAGAGCTGGACACAGTACTCCAGGTAGGGTCTCACAAGAGCAGAGTAGAGGGGCAGAATCACCTCCCTTGACCAGCTGGCCACACTTCCTTTGATGCAGCCCAGGATGTCATTGGCCCTCTGGGCTGTGAGCGCACATTGTTTGCTTATGTACAATTTAAAATCCACTAGTACCCCAAGTCTATTTCTGCAGGGATGCTCTCTGTCACATCATCCCCCAGCCTGTACTGATATTGAGGATTGCTCCTACCCAGGTTGCAGGACCTTGCACTTCGCCTTGTTGAACCTCATGAGGTTCACCTGGGCCCTCTTCTCAAGCATGTCCAGGTCCCTCTGGATGGCATCCTGTCCCTCTGGCATATCACCACACCAGCTTGGTGTCATCAGCAAACTTGCTCAGGGTTCTCAGTAGTATTCTGTAGTATTTAATACTGAAGATTCAAATGTATCCTCCTTCCACATCTGCTTTTGGATGGAGGGACAAGGAATTGTGAAGATGGAAAACATGAATGCCAGAAGGAAACGTTTAGCAAATTTGAGGCAGTATTTCTGCAATTAGAAAGGGAGATTCATTTATTTGTCATGGGAATCAAATTACTTCTGTGTAGTACTGTAGGGACAAGTGTTCATCCAGGAGTCAGATAACTCACTTTTTTTAATGGTCACTTGCATTTTTCATTCTAGTCTTGTGCTTTTCTAAATGTGGTTTCTAAGGAATCTTCTCGATCTTTTCTAGCTGTCTAAATATGATACAGTGGGTTCCTGCTTTAGGATTGCTGTATGAAAATAATGTTTTTTCCCACTGTATTCATTAAGATTGCTTCAAGCAACACATGGATAAAGAGAAAGGAGTGTGATATAATAAATTTAAACATTTTGACATTCTTCCAGAATGCTCTGATCCAGCCTTCAGTAGCTTAACTTTTCTTTGTTAATTTTCTGGAATGTATTATTTAAACCACCTAATTTACAGAGGATAACTAATGGAATATTTTGGGGTCCTGACCTGTTTGTGTAGTAGTGAATTGACATGAAAGATAGATGGGAATATTAGACACCAGAGAAAGATACAGTAAGATAGATTAGATTGGAATTTAAGACTGCTCCATATAAAGGTTGATATGAGCGTATTCATTATAAACCTACCAGGCTTTCCACTGGTGTGGAAACACTGTAAGAGTGTAGTTAACTCCTTCCAGTCAAAGATTTACTGAAGAACAAGAGTGCCAGCCATGACCTGGCCCAGCAATTCAGTGTTCTAGATGATCATAGACTTGTAGAATAGTTTGTGTTAGAAGGGAAATTTAAAGGTGATCTAGTCCATGTCTGTGCAGTAAGCAGGGACATCCTCAATTAGATCAGGTTGCTCAGAGGTCCACCCAACCTGACCTCAAATGTTTCCAGAGATGGGGCATCTGCCACCCGTACAATAATGTACAATACATATTCAATGTGTTTTACCAACATTATCAGTATTCACAGCTGGAATAGGGTTACTGTGTCAGGGAAATTATATGACAGTAATTAACTGTTATAAGTGTAATATTCCAACAGAATTTTAGTTCGTATTCCTTTCTATTTTTTGTTTAACAAGACCAGATGTATTTAAGGCTTTGAGTATTCCTCTTATGTATCTATACCTATGTAAAAAAAACAGTTTTCTATGTATTTGTGCATCGAGTACTTCTGTTTCATAGTAATTATCTCTTTCTCTAGGGGTTGATCTTCAGGTTTGTACTTCTAAAAATTCAACATGCTGTACCAGAAAGATGGAAGAAAGATACCAGACTGCAGCAAAGCAAGATATACAGCAAGTGCTTCAAACATCAAGTGCTACATTAAAATTTTTAATATCTCGCAATGCAGCTGCTTTTCAAGGTAAGACTTTCTGCTTTTTGTTTCCACACTTATTCATGCTTTTCTTGATTTTCATCTTTGATTAGTTTATGCATGTAATAAAATTTACCTGTTAATTTTTACACTCTCTGTTTGCTTTTATGCTTTCAAAGGAAGGTTATTAGAAACTGCATTGCTTTTGGAATTTGTGACTTAGAATATATATATATTTGAGGGAAAATAAGAAACTATTTCAGTAAGATGCTTTGATTTGAATTGTAAATCAGCAACTTGATGTTTCTCTTAAACTTTTTTAATTTTGACATTACTAAAATGCAAAATTACTGCCTTTAGTACTAGAAGAAAGAGATTTTGTTATTCCATTATTTCTTCCCACCATGCTTTTTGTCTAGTTCTAATATAAATACTTGGGTAGTTTGTTTTTGAGGTTCATTTTTGGGATCTGGTTTTGTAAGCTTTTGGGTTTCTAAAAATTCCTGAATTTCTAAAAATGATTAAAAAAAATAATAATTACAGGCTGAGTGAGAGTTGCTCCAATACAGAATATGAAGCTTCCTGACAAATAGATGAACAAACAAACAAACAAACAGTTATTTGGGCTGGAGGTGGAATTGCTTTTTAGCAATTACCCTGGGTAATAATCAGTTTTCTCTGAATTAATAAGGCATAAGTTAATGCAGAAATTGGTTGGGAGCTGGGAAGAAATAGTGGCAATATGAGGTTATATGTGATAGAAAGGAATATAGAGTTCATATGTGTTGAGGACAAAACCCTACAGTCTTGTCATTTGTCTAGTACTGTGTACCTATGGCCTTAATGACCACTTGACTGATCGGGACAAGACGGTCACTTCTTGCAGGCTTAGGAAGTTGTCCTTCTGATGACTCCCTCTGTTTTAATCTGTAAAACTAAACCAAACTGCCTAGGGTCATTAAATGGTCAGCAAGTTTGACTTGGGGGTCCTAAAAACTTCACTTTTTGAAATTTAGGCTGTCTGATGCTAAAAACAAGTTGCTGTTGCTCTCTGCCTTCTGGGAGTATTGCCATTTAGCCTGACTAACACAAATGTCAACGGTTGTCATGATGTTTCTTGGGTTTGAGCTCTATTAACATAATAAGACATCATACCTGGTTTGAATTTAGTTTTGACACTGCTTTGAGCACAAGTTTGGACTGGAGACCTCCTGAAGGCCCCTTCCAATCTGAATTAGTGAATGACAGGGTGTCTATTACAGCATTCACCACTAATTTTTCAGGCATTCCTTCCCTTTACATTTAGCTGAGGCTGGACTGTGGAGCTGGGAGTGCCATTACCACTTCTGCTACTTTGGCATCCGGAAAAAGATCTCAGCAGTCCCCCAGAGAACATGAAGGGGATTATTAGGGTGTTCACAGAGGGAGCAGGTGTCCTGGACATTGCCATTGTTGTCACCTGCCTCTTTTCAAAGTCTGTTGAGGTTTGATACCTTGGCCTAAAAGAGGTGAACTGGATCCAAACAGAACAAATAGGTAATGTTATCTTTCCATTTTTTACATATTTAGTAAAGAGAGGTAGGTAGGTAGGCAAGTAATGTGTATCTGCCTCTGGAGGTCTTCGGGGGTGTGTTTTCCCTCAGTGTTAAATACAGTCTAGAGATACTGGGTACTTCAGAATGACTAAGTACTTTATGATGTTTGTGTCTGTGAAATGAGGCATTTGTCTGCCTATCTATATGTTAAATGTTTGTGTCTGTATCTTTCTATGAGAGTAAATATAGATATATATATTGACATATCCTTGTTACCTTACGTTTGTTAAAATCCTGTGGTTCTATATTGTGGTAAGTGCTACCTGCTAATAGTAGCCCTCTATTGACAATTTTCAACTGTTGCAAAAATCCCATGTGTCTTAGAACATGTCAAGTTACATGGTGCAAATTGCACCACTTGTGTACTGCTTCCTAGGAAGTACTGTTTCAGGCTTTTTCTTTACAAGCAAGAGTGTTTCAGAGTCCCTGTTTGGTTTTTTTTCTGTGGATCTTGTTTCTTTTTAGTACGTTTGAGGAGTGGTAAGGGAACAGAAGGATAGGTAAGAGTTAATCTGGTGAGTGGAAGATATACTATGGAGAGAAAGAAATAATTTTTCCTTTGGGAAAGGCGATTAGAGAATTTAAACTGTATAATAATCATATTTCAAGACAGTTATTTTGATAGGATAACACTTGCATATCTCTGCATTTTTAGTATTTATTTTCTTAATAACTGAGAAAAAGATTGAATTTTCTGCAGGGATTGCCATAACTTCTCCATTCTAGTGGAAACCATAGAAACAAATGTTTTTTAAACTTTATATACTGTAGACATCCCTCTCTCTACATATATATACCTATACATATATATATACACACAGAGTCCTTTTGCACAATTCTTAGATGTTACTCAAAGTTCACACTGACCTTTGTCTATATCTTCAAACAAAATACAAACAAGTGCCACCAGGGTCAA